AGTACACAAAGACTAGCATGCTGATGTATTATGGCGACCATAAAAATAAGTGCTGCAGTGGCGTAGGAATTCCTGTGGAATCTACTAACACTTCACATATTTTTTTATGGTGAAGTCAAATCGGTGATGCACATATTAATACATAGTCAGCAACACAAAAACCAGGCGTATAGTGCTAACAATAGATAGCTAATCGAGGAGGTAAAAGCATATATTGTAATGGGGCAACCCATTGATGCAACAGCTACGAGATATAGCTTTGAGAATAAATTCAAAATTAATATACAAGGTACGGAAGACCCAGGTAAGAAAGGGGTACCAGTACAAGCGGAAGCTACTTGGTATACTGATTGCTCAAAACGTTCGAAGTAGTGGTGCCCAAATGCAAGAACAAGATGAGACTTAGACAGTCTTCGTCTTGGTCTTGCACCAATACACCTGGTTTTGGTCTTGGTCCTGGTATTGCACTCCTAGTCTTGGTCTTGGTCTTGGTTTTGCAGCAAGAGTCTCTAGAACTATTTGAATCTTTATTTATTATGTCAAATTGTAAACTTCTCACTCCGGGAACAACAAGGATTAGATGGAAAACAATAATTATTAGACTCAAAGAAAAGCTTAATTGGGAATAAAGTTTAGTGATGTCGAAAAAGTAACTACTACTAGTTTAGTGTTGCCCAAATGCAAGAACAAGACGAGACTTAGACAGTCTTGGTCTTTGTCTTGCACCAATATACCTGGTCTTGGTCTTGGTATTGCGCTCCCAGTCTTGGTCTTGGTCTTGGTCTTGCAAGTCTCGCAAATACCCATTAGCCTATTGTTATTTATTAAACGTTACTGTAGATCTTGAACAACGTAACATAGTAGGTACATTTAAGCTTGAATTAACATAGCCATAAAAAGACAAACCAAATTAATGAATGTCTAAACAACTGACACTGGGTGGGGTTTGAATCCACGATTTAAGCGATCCGTGCCTATGCTCTAACTAGATGAGCTATCTACCATGTCCCACGGGAGTCAATCTGTTTCTTAATAAGCGTTTGCTTTTAACAAGCTTACGTATGCACAAACATGATTAAAAAACAAAACAACCAAGTTAATGACATAAACTTGACTGTATTTTAAAGAACATTATTTGTCTATTATATAAAGGGATTGGTGGACCCTCACCTTATGTGAAATGGAATAAAATAGTTATATAATTTGACATTTATTTAAATAAAAAATAAAATACAACACAGTGCACAATAGACTTTTAGATTACTGATACTTTTTATTTATTCCTTTGAACAAGAATTAATACAAAGTAACCATCTGGCTGACTCATCACTTAGGCTATTTTTCTATGTTTTCTAATTACTAACGATGCTTTAGAAAATAAGCTCTCAGCAGGTACTGAAGTTGCTGGTATTAAAAGAAAATCACGGGCCATCTTCGATAAAGTCGGATATTCTATCTCATGCGTCCTCCACCACTCTAAAATGTCTTCCAAGTTAGCGGCTCTGGGTTTACTCCTCCAACTCGTCAATAACTAAGCCTTGATGACAAGATCTAGATGAAGTCGAGGAGCATTCATACAGTTTCTCAAAGTCCATTAAGTCTTCATCTTCATCATATTCAGATACTTTGTTTTCATTTCTTGGTGATTCAAGAAATTTATTTACTGGGTGTAGAGTTTTATATTCTTTGTAAAGTTTATTAAATTTTCGCAGGCTTTCTGTTTTAATTGGTTTCCCCCATAAAGTCATGTCAAAAGTCTGAGCCTTATGCGTTGGGCCTAAAATTAAAGAGATACAATAAACCCAGTTGCTCTTCTTATAATGTTTAAGCATTTTGTCTCGAGCTGCTTGAAAACCAAGAATGAGCCTTTTATCCACTTCAGATCGATTAGGTTTCTCATCTAATTGTTTTACGATGGATTCAATTTTATCGAGCAAGAGATTGAATGATACAATCACTAATGGTAATGTAACATATTTTTCTCCCAAAGTTTTGTTGACCAAAGTTTAAAGTTTTTAGAAACTTATGTACTTTTTCGAGTGTTTGCCATTCACTATCTGTGATGTTAAAATCGTTCAATTGTGCGTTTCATTGTCAGTTTTACTGTATAATGCTAAATAATATAAAGGTATTTAATAGATCTTGTATGTATCTTGTACCGAATAAAAAAACGAGAATTTTTTTTTATTCAGTTTAATGCGTCGACAACTAATGGTCATTGGCATGGTACAGTCAATTTTTACAGTCAGGTGTGTAGTGTGTGTGTGTGTGTGTGTGTGTGTGTGTGTGTGTGTGTGTGTGTGTGTGTGTGTGTGTGCGTGTGTGTGCGTGTGTGTGTGTGTGTGCGTGTGTGTGTGCTTGTGTGTGTGTGCGTGTGTGTGTGCGTGTGTGTGTGTGCGTGTGTGTGTGCGTGTGTGTGCGTGTGTGTGTGTGCGTGTGTGTGTGCGTGTGTGTGTGTGCGTGTGTGTGTGCGTGTGTGTGCGTGTGTGTGTGCGTGTGTGTGTGCGTGTGTGTGTGCGTGTGTGTGTGTGTGTGCGTGTGTGTGTGCGTGTGTGTGTGTGTGCGTGTGTGTGTGCGTGTGTGTGTGTGTGTGCGTGTGTGTGTGCGTGTGTGTGTGTGCGCGTGTGTGTGCGTGTGTGTGTGCGTGTGTGTGTGCGTGTGTGCGTGTGTGTGTGTGTGTGTGCGTGTGTGCGTGTGTGTGTGCGTGTGTGTGTGTGCGTGTGTGTGTGCGTGTGTGTGCGTGTGTGTGTGCGTGTGTTTGTGTGCGTGTGTGTTTGTGTGCGTGTGTGTGTGTGCGCGGGTGTATGTGTGGTCGGGTGTGTGTGTGTGCGAGTGTGTGTGTGTGCGTGTGTGTGTGTGTGTGCGTGTGTGTGTGCGTGTGTGTGCGTGTGTGTGTGCGTGCGTGTGTGTGTGCGTGTGTGTGTGCGTGTGTGCGTGCGTGTGTGTGTGTGCGTGTGTGCGTGTGTGTGTGTGCGTGTGTGTGTGCGTGGGTGTGTGGCTGCGTGCGTGGGTGTGTGTGCGTGTGTGTGTGCGTGTGTGTGTGCGTGTGTGTGCGTGTGTGTGTGTGTGTGCGTGTGTGTGTGCGTGTGTGTGTGTGCGTGTGTGTGTGCGTGTGTGTGTGTGCGTGTGTGTGTGCGTGTGTGTGTGTGTGTGTGATTATATTTTTTATCAGCTAAGGTGATACATTTTTAAAGAGTTCCGATACGATATTACTGTCGGCGCGGCGTCGCAAATCAAAGATATTATATATTCGCTATGTATGTTTAGGGTATTTTTCGTAATGCACAAGTCGAATTTTCCAAATTTTTGGTAATACTTCTTTGCGTCTCATAGAGACTCTAAGCATAAACCCGAACTATTATACTCCTTCAAACCACACTCAGTCCTAACTGCAAGACGCAAGAGTCTCGCAGGCTTAGTCTTGTTCTTGCTCAAGTCTTGCACGGTTAGTCTTGGTCTTGGTCTTGCAAAAAATAGGCAGTCTTGGTCTTGGTCTCGGTCTTGCAAAAACGCAAGAACAAGACCAAGACTGCAAGACCAAGACCGATTTTGGGCAACACTATACTAGTTACTTTATGTTCGTTACTATCTCAGTGGCGCACTTAGGGGTGTTTTGGGGGTTAAACCACCCCAGGGCACTATTCCGACACTGTTCCTCACAAGTTTTAAGGACTCGAAATGAAGGTAGCATAAAAAAAATTTCCTCCTCACAGGAAAATTCTGCGTGCGCCACTGTACTATCCAATACCTTAAGTGCCGAATAACAAACTTAGAATTATAAGGATGATATTCTGCAATAATAGTTTAAGCCACATATTATATGGTTCAGAGTCAATGAGCATAATGTATCTACCTACTTTAAAAAATTGACTGATAGAAAATAAGGCTTTATTTTCACATTTTTATATTTCAATAATTACAGGCTTCCTTAAAAAACGTACAAAAGCAAAATAAGTAAAAAAAGTTTATTACAAAAATAACTTAAAGCGGCTTAGACGGTTTTTGCAAAATTGTAAAAATATAAGTTGGTCATTTTGCAATAACCGTCTATCCCTCCGAAATGGTAAATACACAGAAACAAAACATTGTGATATTTTGCTTTAAAATATTATACCAACAGCCTAAATAATAACAACCAGCCGCAGTCGTTTAAAGTTGGAATATCAAATTCCTTTGTTAAAAAGGCATACAATATTTTGCTGACCAGAATTTTGACTATCAAGCAACAGCTCCAATATTTTATATAATAAACAATAGGTTTCGTTATTTAATAATGTAATTTTTTGTCGGCATTTATGACACCAACATACAAGTAATCGCAAAACATATTATGTTATCTTTTCGGTACATTATCCGTGATAAAAGAATTTAAAAATTTCTTTAAACAATTGCCGAACTGACAAAATTCACAGTTTTAAATAATATACTTTCGTATAAGCCTCTAGTTTGGTGCAATTTTATTTATTTAAATGAATACTTAAATAAAATTTCAATATAAGTGTAATAATAAATTTTTCATCTTTTATCAAAATCTGGACAATCAAATCCAGAGCGAAGAAGTCGTCTGCTGGAAAAGAATGTACAAAATATTTTATTTTTACATTGTAATTATGACCTCTGAGCACGTGTCAAATGTGTTCTTTGAATGTATATTTTGATTCGGTATGTATGTTTATGGTATTTTTCGTATTCCGCATAAGTCCAATTTTTCAAATTTTTATTACATATTTTTTTGCGTCACATAAAGTCTTTAAGTATATAGCCAAACTACTATACTCGCTAAAGAGGTACATAAAATGTTTAGTGTCGAAGTTATTAGACCTTGTAAAAAGGATCAGGCTAGAGAATGTTATCTATCCATATTGTATCATTTGTTTGAGAAATTTGAAGACAAAATAAATATATTTTTAATGGTAAATAGTTTTTGTATATTTCTTAAAGATTAAATAATAGCGTAGTATAATCGGATTAAGAAGAATGATACACAACAAATTACTTACCGTTTCCAACAAATCAGCAAGTTTAGTCATAAGGAACAGATGATACATTTTTAAAATGTATATCGAGTGGGGATCACGCCCATAGCCTATCTTTTCGCAATGCCAATTTATGTTAAACCATACTTCCTTAAATGCCTAAAAGCATAAATTTATTTATTAAAAACATTATTGTAATAAATACTTACCCACATAACAACAATTATTAAATATACAACAGGGTGGTCCTTATGTAATTGTACAAAAAGAAACCCAAAATTAATATTCTTTATTACCAAACTTAAGTTTATTTTCATACTTTTGATGATAACCACGCCATTCGACTTCAGAAACAACTTGCGAAATATGATAAGCCTTATAAAATTTTCACAGATGGGTCAAAATCCATTTTAGGAAATTCAAAATAATCAAGAACACATTATGATTAAATTAAACCAACAATGTTCCATTTATTCCGCAAAACTGTTTGCAATATATCAAGCTCTGGAATTGACTATTAAGAAGAAAATTTCTGATCAACAAATAGTAATCCTGTCTGATTCAAAATCTGCGTTGTCTGCTTTAGATAATTCGCATAAGCACATATGAGGCGCATAGTGTAAGAATGGCCCAACTAAAAAAAAAATGATATTTGAGTTAATAACACCAAGCGTTAGTATTTGTATTAATCTATCGTGTACAATAGTGGCCCACGTCGATTTGATTAAAATGCCGGTAGATGAATTATCAATGTCACTTTGGCGTATTATGATTTGTTGACAAACAGTCGTGCAGTAATAGCCCAACGTTCATGCCTGTCGATGTGTTTCAGTTTCTCGTGTGCACTAGTGGCCTATCTCTTATCCTTAAAATTATTATTTGAGTTTTAACAGCTCGTGTACGCTTTAATTGTTTGTGTTTAGTTATTTGAAAGTTGTATTATGGATATTCCATCCACATCAGGTAAATATATTGTTCATATCATTTTTTTAAGTAATTACTAAAAGTAGATATATTGGAATAAGGTGTTAAAAAGTATATAATAATACACGACTGAATTATTGTAACTTATCTCATCCAGGCAAAAGCAATAACACTTTTGATGACAGTGATGTCTCTAGTATTAATGAGACATATACAGATTCAGGTTCCAGTTACAATCCTTCTGATATGGAAGATTCAACAAGTGAAAAAAGTAAAGGTATTTTATTATTATGATAATCGTTTGAAAGAAACTAATATATTTTGCTTTAGGTGAAAATGAAAATGTATTGGTGACTGATAAGAATTTACAAAGCAGTTTTCAGTCTAACGATATTGCAAATCCTGGAGAAATTCTAAGAAGTAGGAAACGTGGTGCTCGTCGAAAATTTGCAGATAAAAGTCAATGGCAACGTAATATAAGAAAAAATTACGAAATAGTGGACGTGAGTATACAAACATTAAGGGTAATGTAGTTGCTGACAAACAGTTTGATGCATCCGACTGTCGTTGTTTTAAAGAATGCCATAAACTTATTACACTTCAACAGCGTGAAACTATTTTTCAAGATTTTTATGAACTCGCTAATTTTGATTTACAGATATCCTACTTATGTGGCCAAATCAAACTTACTTCAAAATTAACCAATACTGCTCAAAGTGACTCCAGAAAATACACAAGACAATATTCTTTGACAAAAGAAACAGGGCTAGATATTCCAGTTTGCAAGGAGTTTTTTAAAAAAGTCTTGAGAGTTTCAGATGATCGACTTACACGTGTTTTGCGTAATAAAGAGCAAGGTGGCACACCTTCTAAGAATAAAAGAGAAAAAATGGACGCTGATAATAAAACAAGTCAGGAGAAACTTGACAATGTTTTTCATTTTATTTCGAGGTTCCCAAAATATCAGTCACATTATTCTAAAAATAGAATCCAAATCTTTGTTATTTAGCTCCCAGTTTAAATCTGTCAACTATGTATTCCTTATGCAAACAAGAAACAAATGATCCTGCGTTACATTTTTTTTAAAGAATGTTTTCAGAAAAAAATTTAATTTAACTTTTCATGCGCCTGTATCTAACAGTTGTAGATGTGACGAATTTGAACAAAAAATAAAAACAGAAACTTCTGAAGTTACTTTGGCAAGTTTAAAGTTAGAAAATAATTGCATCTTCGAAAGACAGAAAGCCTACGTGCTGGGATGGTATTGGATTCGGAATCGGGTAAAATAGCTGAAAACGATATCACTGTAATAGCCTTTGATCTCATGTCTACATTACATACCTCATCTTTCAACTGGGGTATGTTACTACAAAAGGCAGTTGTGGACATACTGCTTAGGTATCCACAACTTATCAAGTAATCAGGCCCACATGTAAGTTTGGCATGAATCCATAGCATTTAGAGGATCTCAAAAGATTGGATCTTGTATACAGCATTATGTCAAAAACTATGTTAACACGTCAAAATTAATTATGTATAGTGACCAATGCGGAGGGCAGAATAGGAATATTAAAATGTCTCTTTTTGTAATTATATATACAAAACAAGATATCAAAAGTGGATTTTGGGGTCGGGGTATTCATATTTAGCATGTTACCGTGACTTTGGGATCATAGAGAAGAACAAGAAAACTTTTAATGATATTTATGTACCCGGAGATTCGACCAGAGTGATTAGGACAGTAAAAAAACAAAAACCGTTCACAGTAGTAGAAATGACCAGCAACGATTTCGTGAGTAGTGTTCCATTAGAGAAAACCATTACTAATCTTAAAAAGACTGTCGAGGGTGAATTGGTGAACTGGCTAAAAGTGCAATGGTTGCGATACTCTTTAACTGAACCACTATAATTGTATTATAAAAATTATAACAATCTGGAGGTTATTTTTAAACATATAGACATTACAAAGCGCAATACATCTATGTTTATTGCAAAAATTTCCACTTTTATACCCAAAAAGCAGAGACATTGAAGCTGCTAAATTTAGCAATTTACAAGATTTGTTAGTGTATGTCCCATCTTATTTACATAACTTTTATAACAATCTAAATGTTAAAAATTTAGATCAACGTATACAAAATAATGATGATGGAGAAGATAATGTGTTTTACACTATAGAAGATTCCGAACAAATGATGGAATAAATGTTTATAAAAAATTACTTCCGGGCATTGTTTTGGCTTTTCTTCATTTTTTTATACAAGTATGGTAAAAATGATTTATGCAAAAACGCACTTTATTTTTTTTTTATTTTTATAATGCAAGAGTGGTCGATAATTTTTTTTCCAAAAAGATTTTGAAAATTTTACTTTTTTGTGATATTAATGTAAAATGAAATTTACTAACTTAATTTAAGGTGTTGAAACTGAAAACTAAGGTTAATAATTCTTGAAGAGACAGAGAGCGGTCAAATTGAATAAAACTTTATTCGTCTTTTTCTCAAAATCAGTTTTTACGAGTTAGGCCACTCTTGCACTAAGCGCCTCATATAAAAAACAGTATTATCGTCAAAATTTTAAATAATCAACTAAACTTACTTAAAACAAATCATTCAGTCTCTTTCATTTGGGTAAAGGACATGCTGGTATCTCAGGTAACACTAAAGCAGATTATTTTGCTAAAGAAGCAACTTCAAAAGGATTAGAAATTAGTTAGCTCAATAGAAGTGATTTAGTCTTGTTGCGTAAACAAGAATTAAAAGAAAACTGGAAAATTAAATGGAATGCTTTCTGTAACTGAAGTAACCACAAGGAAAAGACAGTTAAGATTTGATTTCACGTATAGCGCGTCTATGTATCGGCTTACGTATTTCGGCCTAATAGGCCTTGCCAGAATGGCAATTCATAGTCGCTCTGAACGTGAAAATAAATCTCTTCTGTCTTAGAAAGCAACTCTAATATGGCTTCGAATGGTCCCAAAAGCGACATCTGATATTAAAATCCGTATACTAATTTTCGAAACCAAATTCAGATTTTAGCTTTAATCTGTGCCTGTCGTTGATGACACGCCTGACAAAACAGACGTTGATAAAGATGTTATTAGAGACATGGGGAATCTGAAATGGGCATTTTACGACATATCTCCTGAACTAAGCAAAAATCCTTAGCGAATTGGTTTCTTGTACTCGTACAGAAATCAAATCTTAACTGTCTTTTTCTTTTTATTCCGATTACTCTGTACGAGTACCTACAAGAAACCAATTCGCTAAGGATTTTTCCTTAGTTCAGGAGATATGTCGTGGAATGACCATTTTAGATTCCCCATGTCTCCAATAACATCTTTATCAACGTCTGTTTTGCCTTGCAATTCTTAGAAGGCACAGATTAAAGCAAAAATCTGAATTTGGTTTCGAAAATTAGTTTACGGATTTTGAAGTAACAACCTTTACACAAAAATTTACCCTATTTTACCTACTGCGCCTTTTGCTACAAGAAGTTGTCCCACTATAAGAGTATATTCAATGTTTGTTTAATGCCTTGTAAATCATGCTACTGTAAAAGCACATCTTCATAGATTTAGTTTAAGTGAAACAGAACTCTACAATTATAATGGTAACACTAACGATATCAATCGTTGGATGTTCGGGTGCATACATAATGATGCTCGTATTAAGAATCTATTGGAAAATCTGATACAAGAACAAATACCTCTTCCTCAAAGTTAATCTTCTATTTTATATATCTCTCGTCGTAATATGAGCCTTAATCAAATTTTTTGGGGATATTTAAAAACGACTAAAAGAAAAATTTAGGATGGAATGTTTAGTGTGAATGTACACATCTAGCTCTATTCCTCCTGTCTATCCTTATGTTATATATTTACCTCCTAGCCGTTGCATGATCAACCACTCGTAGCAGATATTAAACTAAGGTTAAAACGAATTCAGCGACAAAAACCAAAAACCAATGTACTTAACTTTGACGATATAAATATAAACCATAACATTAAAAAAGAATTTATTAATAGAATAAAAAACATCGGAGACCAACTAGAAGATCCAAAAGAACTATGGAGTGAATTTAAAAACCAAGTTAACGAAATCTCCACAAACAATGATTATAGAAAAAAATTAATCAGGAAAAGTAACTGGATGACAGACGACATCTTGAAATTAATGGAACAATGTCGACTGATAAAATCTAATGTAACAGAATATAGACACCTGCAAAGAAGAATAAAAAAGGAGATCAAATTAGCCAAAGAAAAATGGATGAGAGAAAGGTGCGACGAAATGGAGGATGTAATATCTAAACACGACTTATTTAATGTGCACAAAAAACTGAGAGAAATGAGTAATTAAAAACGAGTTCCCTCTGTAATTGTTGACACTAATAACAAAATTATTGTAAATGAGCAACAAATAAGAAAAGAATGGCAACTGTATATATCAGAGTTATTTGAAGATGACAGGAATAATATTACCGAATTCTACCAAAACTGTACTGATGGCCAAGAAATTATGAAAGGCGAAGTAGAACATGCTATAAATAATGCTAAAATTAGAAAAGCTTGTGGTCCAGATAATACACCAACTGAGTTACTGAACCTAATAGAGAATGATAACATAAAAGTAGTAAGACTGTTTAATTCAATATATAATACCGGAGTGATTCCCGCAGATTGGCTCAAATCCATCTTTATCGCAATACCTAAAAAATACATTGCGATAAAATGCTCAGAATATCGATTAATTAGCCTAATGAGCCACACTCTTAAAATTTACCTCAGAATACTTCACAACAGAATTAGACGCAAATGCGAAGAAGATTTTGAAGATACCCAGTGCGGTTTTAGAAATGCTATGGGAACCAGGGAGGCACTTTTTGCGCTTAACATCCTATTACAAAAATGCCGTGATCAAATAAAATATGTATTTTCATATTTCGTGGACTTCGAAAAGGCATTCGATAAAGTACAGCATGTAAAATTAATGCAAATACTGAAAAATATCGGAATAGATGACAAGGATATTCGTATTCGTGTCATTAAAAATTTGTACTGGAATCAAACTGCTATCGGAAAAATTGGAGATAACTACACCTCCCCATACAACGAGGAGTCAGACAAGGTTGCATTTTGTCGCCAACATTGTTCAATGTTTACTCGGACCAGCTATTTAAAAAGGCATTTGAAAGACAACCATATGGAATAAAAATCAACGGGGAACTACTTAATGTGATTAGATATGCAGACGATACAGTAATTCTATCAGATAATATTAAAGGTCTTCAAATTCTGCTTGATCGTATTCACGAGGTAGAAGAGAAAATGGGCATTAAAATAAACTCAAACAAAACCAAATTTTTAGTGTTTAGTCGTGACCCGCATCCCGATGCAAAGCTTCAGTTGAACGGAGTCCAAGTTGAGAAAGTTCACAAAATGACATATTTGGGAACTGTGGTAACGGACCAACTAGATCCAGACATAGAAATAAAACGTAGAATAGCAATGACTAAAACTACTTTTATGAAAATGAAGTCATTTCTTTGCAATAACCATCTCAGTTTAGAACTAAGGCAAAGAATGGTTAAGTGCTATGTTTGGTCTGTACTTTTGTATAGTGCAGAAGTGTGGACGCTAAAAGTATCGATCATGAATAAAATTGAAGCATTGAAAATGTGGGTTCATAGAAGAATGCTGAAGTACCTTGGACAGCAAGAAAAACTAATGAAGAAGTACTAAGGAGCGCCAACAAAGACAGAGACTAAAGACTGTTAAACATCGAAAAATGTCTTATCTGTGACATATAGTAAGGGGAAGTCGATATAAAATTTCACAACTGATCCTTGAAGGCAAAATAGAGGGCGGTAGAGGTGTAGGAAGAAAACAAGTTTCTTGGTTAAAAACATTCGTGAATGAACTCAGATACCAAATGCAGGATAATTATTCCATATTGCAGAAGATCCAGAAGCCTTCGCAATGGTGATCGCCAACGTCGGATAATTCTGATATGGCACGCGAAGAAGAAGAAGAAGAAGAAGCCGTTGCATGTCTTGTGTTGAAATAAATCGTTATAAAAGGCACCTTAGCGTGTAAAGTGTCCCTATATTATGTAATCCCTTGTTGGTTCTAAATATTCACTTTAAGTTGGTTAGGGCCCTGAATGTAACGAATGAAAGTATGGATAATCGAAGTACTATTTTGTTAACAAATGCAATAGGTCAATGTATCATTAACAAATTCAAGTAGTCAAATACATTATCGTGGTTAAATGGATCGTTATCCAAAGCCATTAATAAAAAAAACTTATTTTAAATTAAAACTGTGGCTTATTCTCAGTAAAAACAATAAGTTGCCATTTTAATCAATTCGCCAAATCTTATATGTACCTCTCCTCTCGAGATATTCTACTAACTAAATTTCGACTGAGACCTTAAAATCCTATTTTAAATATACACACATATATATATATATATATATATATATATATATATATATATATATATATATATATATATATATATATATATCGTCGTCGTCAGAGCCAAACCTCGTAATAAAATTATCGTAGAATGTTTGTATAATAACGAATAACCAGACCTTGTACAGATCGAAAGAATTTGATGACAATCTAAACCTCGTATGATTGGCAGTTCCACGTCATATCGGTAAATACAAGGTATGGTTTGTCAGATTTCTTATTTGGTGTGCGAATGAGGGACTTGTAAAAAGTTAGGTTACATTGGTTTATTTGTGTTACTTGTTTATGTGTGTGTGTGTTTAGTGCCGTTATTTTCTTATAAAGTGTTAATTATATTAATATTCAACGTCATTTTAATGACATCATAGCTGATCCCCTACCGTTTAGAAGGTTAATGGAATCTTTAGAAAAAAGAATAGACTTGTGTATTCGAGAAAACGGAGGGCATTTTGAACACTTACTGTAACTGTATTTATTATTTTATTTATAATTTTATTCATAATTTTATTTTATGTTCTTAGTCATTAATTTAATTTTCTTCTTGTGAGTTTTGTTTAATTACTAACTATTTTATACCAGCAACAATTAGTACTTCATAATTTTCAAATCAAAATAATTCGAAAACGATACACAGTATCGAGTTTTACCAAGAGTACTTTTTTCTTGTAAAATTGAATGATGTTTAAGTTTACTTGACATTTTGAATATTAATTAATAATTAATAACTATAAATAATTCTTTTTTAAGAGTATAATTAATAATTATACTCTTAAAAAAGTTATATTGACTAATACTTAGTACAATCCGTGTAACTAGCGCCCTCTATGAGAATTAGATATAAAAACAAATTCATGGGATGTATCAGCGTATAAAATCGTAAAAAATTCGTAATTTTTTTTCTTCAACGGCCTGTATCTTGAAAACGGATGGCGTTACAAAAATTTTTTACCAAGCAAACCCCAATTATTTTTCGATTATTTACCTACCCTAGAGATGGGGTTACCTTTTTTTGAAACACCCTGTATATTTCAGTCATAGTGTAAATTTAAGGCTTTGTTAATTTTTGTCGATGTATATGTAGTATACTTAAGAAACTATTATTCCTGGAAGAATGTCATATTTCTGTACTTTGTCTTGACAAATTAAAATTTCTAAAAATATAAACCAAATTTACCTAAAATTTCGCAATATTGAACGTCACTGTGCAAACCAGTTTTTTAATTTTAATATCGATCTTCGAGCAGGGTTCCATCATTCGGTAGTTTTTGTTGTTCATAGGCTATTTTCTTGTGACATTTTCATATTATTAGCTATCTTTATTGGAATTTACCACGATTTCAGTTTAAGATACGTTTATTTTGACAGTTTATTTTAATTTCCACTTTTAAAATTGCTCGAAAAGAAAAACACCAAACTAAATGTAATTTACCAAAAAATTGTGTAACATTGTGAATAATGCGGTAGGTTTTTCGTTTAAACATGTTACCTTCAAATGGGCGAAAAGTAATCCGAAAATATATCGAAACATATTATATCACAAATGGTAACAGACAAATGTTTTTCATGTTGTCACCCAACGTCATTCTCATTACGATCCAACATGGTAAATTCTGGTTTACAATATGGCATCAAGTTAATTAATATGGATTGTAATATTTGTTTTGTGTTTCCTGTATTGTCTTCAATGAATATTTTCCAATGTTTACTTACCACGTATACTATAAACGCGTTTACTACTATTTGCGTTAAGTTGTACGCAATCAATATGCCTTTAAGTTCAAAAGGTTGCCGATTTTGCATAAGTCGAGGACCTAAACGATAAATAAAATACAAGTATGTCAGAATCACGGCCAGGGGTTGTAGTGGCGATGACATCAGAAACAAATTCTGCTCTAGAGGTCTCGAATCTGTAAAAAAAATTTTAATTTAATTTTGGATTAGATATTTGCATTATCGTCTAGTCGTCAGAGATTTAAACTCTAAAAATCATCCGAATAAGCTGAATTTTGCTTGAAAATATCAATTTAGGGACCCCTAAAATATGCAAATATTTAGGAAGGACTGGGAACACGAACTGCACTGTTTGCAGTAAGTGTTCTTTCGCAGATATGCTTAGATATTAATCAGGAAGTATATGCCCGTTTCATGGATTTTGAGAAGGCATTTGACAGAGTGCAGCCTAATCGGCTTAAAGAAATTTTACTGAATAAAAACATAGACAGTAGAGACATTAGAATCATCTGTAACCTCTATTGGAATCAAACAGCAAAAGTGAAAGTTGAAAACGAACTCACCGAGGATATCCAGATTCGCCGTGGTGTCCGCCAAGGGTGTATTCTATCACCCTTGTTATTTAATTTATACAGTGAAGCCATCACAGAATTAGCGCTTGCCGAGATCAGTGAGGGCCTTATAATAAACGGTGAACCACTTAATAACATTAGATATGCTGACGACACCGTCCTTCTGACAGGAACACTAGAAGAACTGCAACACCTTGCTGAACAACTAAAGATATATTGCAACGATTATGGACAAAAATAAATTTGAAGAAAACCAAGTTCATGGTATTTACAAAAGCACAAAACATCAAAGTTAAGCTAGTACTAGATAATACAGAAATTGAACAAATATCTTCGAACAAATACCTTGGAGCATGGATCACAGAAGATACTGATCAGGCAAAAGAAATAAGATGCTGCATTGAAATTGCACGGTCAACTTTTGATAGAATGAGAAAACTTTTTTGTAATCGCGATATCAATATATCGCTCCATATAAGAATGCTTCGATGTTATATTGTCTCTACCCTTTTGTATGGAGTTGAATCTTGGACACTTAAAAAATCCAACATTATAAACCTAGAGGTATTTGAAATGTGGTGTTACCGACGTATTTTGAAAATATCATGGATGGATCGCAAAACAAACGAACAAGTTCTCGAACAACTAGGAAAACGATGCGAAGTTTTAAATTCCATAAAAATCAGGAAATTGAAATACTTGGAGCACATCATGAGAGGTGAAAAGTACGAACTACTAAAAAATGTAATGCAGGGTAAAATCAAAGGTAGAAGAAGCGTAGGAAGACGTAAAATCTCGTGGCTACGCAATCTCCGTGAATGGTTTGGATGCAGTTCAATTGAACTATTCAGGCGCGTAACCAACAAAATTATAATTGCCAGAATGATTTCCAATCTCCGATAGCAGTGGAACTTGATGATGAAGAAGAAAATATGCAAAAAGGTTTACCACTCCTACCCTCGGCTTTTCCCTAAAAAAACCCCTCTCAGGGGAAAAGTCGATTTACCAAGAATTTGAACACCGTAGAAAAATATTTTAAATAAAAACTGTAGCTGAGATAATTTTAAACAAACAGTACTTTTTAGTACTTTTTTCCCACTTCGCACTTTACACAACGGTTGAAGCGACCAGCGATGTTAAAAGTCAGTTACGTGCGCTAAATCAATTTTGAATAAAGTTTGTATCAACTCGATGGTAAAAATCCGATATCTTATGATCAGAGTATTCTATCAACAAAAATTAAGATGCATTTTAAAGGTATGTATTTTTTGTATTTGCTGCAAATGAACTGTTTTTATAAAGGTGTTAAATAAATAAACGTGACGCGATTTTTGCCATTTTTTACGATTCCGATACGATTACGATATGCCGAAAAAACGCAGATTTGAAACTTTCACATTACAAACAATTGCACGTAAATGCCTCCATGAAGGCGGTATTGGGTGGAATTTGTAGCTAAAATTCTTTAGTTTTGGAAAACGTACTTGTCTAATTTAAAAGAAGCAGTCTTAAATATTTTAGATCATTTGTAACGTAAAAGTTTAAATTTATCGTTTTTTAGGCATATTTCAAATGCCTTACATTTGTTGCCAAAACTGAAAATCGAAGTGTCATGGTATAGTTGCCGAAGATTAGGCTCTAAAAATGAAAATTGCAGATTGCAAATTGCAGAAAACGCAGATGACCATCTCGTACGATGGTTTGTTGAGTAACTGGATGAGTAGGAAATAATAACTTACTCACCACTTAGATCATTTGGGACCTACGTTACTCTAAAAACTAAGGTTTCCAGGTGTTCAATCACAAATTAACCCCTTAACTTGTAATCTCACATTATTCTTAACTTCTTAATCTTTTATAGTTTCACCGTGTATAAGTGACATTGTAAAACCATATCGTATAATATTTTAATAATTATTTCATTTACCTACAACTAAATAGATTGCCAAATAATATATTTTCTAATTGAACTTTCTAAAGTAAGCAGCACATTGGGACGTAGGTGACACAGGTGACGCAGTGCAGTGCAGGCTACACAGGTCAGAACATATACGTGTCACGCAGTGTAAGCGCATATTTGGAAGCAGTCTTCTCGAAAATTTTGAGGTGCGAATATCGAATATATTATATGAACATAGAAAGAGAATTTTATAATTTAGATAATGGCGTTATTTCTAGACAGTTCCGAATCAGAGTCAGACACAGAATTTGTAGAAACAGTTTTATTATTCAACATGTCAAAGAGAAAAAAATCATTTTGGAAAAGCAACTATATGAAAAAGAGCAATACTCATGGGGAATTTGCACTATCATCAGAATTCTCTGAGTCTCGTTATTTAAATTATTTTCGGTTAAGCGGAAAACAAGTTGATGAAATACATAATATAATAGAATACAGTATTTATTCAGATGGTTGTAATGCCCAAAAACCAATAGGAACCAAAGAAAAACTAGCTGTTTTTTTTAAGGTATTTTAAACAATCATAATTCTATACTCTATAATTTTCCACAAAATTACGAATATTACCGGTATCAGCGGTTTGAGGAAAAGTCTCAGCAGACAACCTGGGGGTGAGTGTAGTAGATGAATAATTATTGGTGCTTCTAGAGTTGTAATCATTTGAGAATAAAAAAGAGTTTTTGGGAATATGAGCTAGAGGATTATTACAATGTTGATACTCAGGATGCTGGCTACTGTGACTGGAACTTGGTGATGGAAGAGGTGTTGACGAGTAATGGGGCTGCTAAATATGGGTATTAACATATGCACTGGTAAAAACTATTTGTTCACTATGAGTGTAGTTTTCTTGACTGGGATCATGAATTTCTAGATATGCAGCTTCGAGCTGCGATATAGCTTGGAACACATCATTTCTTGCACGATGGAGGCTTTTTTTGGTTATTTTGTACATCGACATATAAAAATGATAGAGATCATCATCCAAAGGCTTCTGTGCTGCCCTTTCAACTGCTCTTTCTTCGGCCCTTTTTTGACGTTGCATAATTGACTGCTTTATTACTTCCTGTATATCATCATTTTTATCATATTTTTATTATTCATCGTAAAGAATTGTCTGGCTTCTCACAAATTCGATTAACTATTCATTCATTTCGAATATAATCACACAAAATTTTACTAGAAACAAACAAACTGCTCTGCACGTGGCACAGGAATCTGTGTCCGGACGACTGCGCTGACAGGTTTTCTTAAACACAGTTCTGTGCTGCCCTGCCCTGCGCTTAAATTCGCGCGGGGTAATCTAATTGTACGAAAAACAGAAACCTGTGCTGTCCTACGCTGCGTTGCCTGCGTCACCTGCGTCTGAATGTGCGGCGCGCCTAAGTGTCGTATTCCTGTTTTGTATTTTAAGCAAAGTTTATTGGTATGGTATGATAGGAAGCAATAACCTCTGTGCTTAAGTATGAAATATTTGTGAGATTATAAATTGGGGATTTGAGCTCATTTGAGTACAGTCAATCATAAGTAGTTACCTAACGAATCATATAGTGTAATTACAAGTATCTGTCAATAAATCAACACTTTCACTCCACTACTTCAACCTTTTAATATACCTATCTTCGTCGATCGACAAGAAGCAAACAAAGGGGCATTTACAAACCGATTCGAACCTCAAAACTAAGTTCGAATCTTTCCACCAGGAATCTGGAAGGGTGTGCAGCATTAAAGCAGTTCGAAAGATCCGACTGGTTAGTAACTACACTGGTGCGCTGACTCAAGGATCCCAAAAGGACCGGCCAAAGCTCAAATATGGCGCAAACTACCAATCGGATACACCCTGTACAATTAGCAATCACTATTCGCCAAATCAGACTACGTGCAAATCAACAAATATGGATTCCTAGCTCTACCGACGAGAAGGTTTGTACTAGGATGGTTTTATGTGGTAAGGATGAAACACGACGTTCACTAAAACGCGAATAAAACTGAAGGTCGTTCAACAAGAGGTTTGGATAACTCTGTCGCACACACCTACTTACTTTGTCTAGTAAGCTTCTGTTTATTTTGTCTAAAATTCCATTTTATTTGTGGCACATGTAGTATTGTATAGTCCACCTGAATACCATTATTTTTACAAAAATCTCTCTAAGTACCTTAGATGTAAATTATTATTTTTCTTCTTTTTTGGCTATATAACTCTAAGTGAGTCTTGGCCGTGTTTACTATTTTTCTTCACCGGAACTTGTTGCCAGACTTGTGCAGCAATCTCACATTGTTGTACCACCATCTTACGAAGATCACTCGTTACTGCATCTTTTCCTTGGGCTAACAACTTACGCTCTGCCATCAGGTGTTAGTCAGTCTTTCAGTAGTAAGTAGTTTTTCATTATTCGATCTCAGTAAATGTCTTCATCATCATCATCTTTGGCTCGACAATCCTCTGTGGATCTTGGCCTGCTCTAAGATTCGTCGCCATTCTGTTCGGTTTTTGGCAACATGTTGCCATCTTCTGATTTTTAATAGTATAATATATATATATATATATATATATATATATATATATATATATATATATATATTATAACAGTAAATGTCTTGCCTATTTATTTTATCCGATTTACCTTAATGTATGTGTTTTCTTCTCCATAGAGTGCTTGGAGTTCTTGGTTATGTCTTTTTCCCCACTCTTTTGTTATCTTGTCTCTACAAAACCCAAAAATTGGAGCATCTTAGGTTCAAAGACTAATAATTTTGTTGTTTCACGCTGGTTTAGTGTCCACGTCCCACTTCCATTCCTTAGTATGAAATTTATTTTATTCAGTTATTTTCATTTTATCAAAATGTTTTGTCTAATCCGTAGTTTTGGATTTTTAGTAACTAGGTACCACATACTTGGTCTTAGCTTCACTTATCTTAAGTCCTATTTTCCTGGCCCCGCTTTCAAAAAGGGTAAAAACTTCTTTTGCATCTCTGGTGGATTGTGCGATTTTGTCGACATCCGCATCAAAGCTGATATTATTTGCGCTTCCTGGACAGCGAATCAATTGTTAATTGTGTTTGTGCTTTCCTAATTTCGTGCTTCCTCGAAGGGTAGATAACAAAGGGTAGGTAAGTCGATCGCCTTGCCTTTTTCGCGTTTCGATTTGAAGCTCATCTGATGTATTGCTGACAATTATTATACGTACACACGCTTTCTGGGTACCCCCATTTCTATCATTATTTTCCACACTGTATCCCTGTTTGCACAGTCATACGCTTGTTTAAAATCTACAAAATTTTGATGTACATCTTTGTGGACGTGTTCATGCCGAGCAAAATAACATTTTGCTCTTTACGTATTCAATCTTTATCCAATGTCATCGACCGAGTGTCATATTAAAATTTAAATTTTAAAACATGTAAAACCATATATTGATGTCACAGGTACTATTTTAGTATTAGATTCAATTACAAAAGAAGGCAAAAGAAATTACTGAGGATGACTTGAACTAGATCAAAAACGTCATGTTATGCACCTGTGTAAATTTTGACGACACTTTTTAAAAAAGTTTTAAATTAAATGTTTTATACCTACATAGGTACAAATGTAAAGTGTTTTACTTCTGTATAAGTTTTATATACTTTAGGTTATCTATGTATTTTTTTGTTTTTGTGTAAATAGGGACTGATCACTCTGCATACCTACTAATTCTTTGCTCTAAATAGTAGCATAGAGGCTCAATAGAACGGATGCGCTAAGGCTTCCGTGGCGTGGGCTGGAAAGAACAACAAAGAGTTATTTTTAACCAAAGACTGTTTTACTGTCTTTATTGATTACAAGAAAACCTTTGACTTGATTACGCATCGATGCTCTTATAGATATAGTAAACATTTGTAAATAAAAAAAAATATGGCGAACTTTATGGAGCATATAATGACAGATTGGAAGAATTAAATTTACCTTCAAGTACCCGGTGAAAGCAATAGCGGCGAAACTGAAAATATCACAATAAAGCCGGTGCCTAGTCCAAGGGGACTCGTTAAGTCCACTGTGGTTTTGCCTAGTGATGTACTATTATCATACAAAGTGTACTCGACTCAATTAATAAATTAAGAATCTATTCAATAAAAATTGAAATTAAATGTACACATGACTGAAAATAATAGGCATGGACAGCATCCCAATGAAGTTAGTCAGTACTTTGTCGACAATACAGCGTCGAACTACTAGTTGACATCAGGTAAGACGTTTTTCTACTTGCCATTCTGGAGAGAGGTAAAACCAACTTGTAGTTTAACATCAAAAGACGTTTATCAAACCCAAAAATACATCGAACATCTTACCGCGGATTGACATTCATTTCTGTTAAATATGATGAAAAAATCGTCAAGTGTAGAGATCATAAAATACAAATACGAAGACAATGGAGAATAAGAAGTACCCAGAAGATATCTAATATTCTCTCTACTACTGGTGTTATTTCTAAGAACCTCCTCAAGAACATAAGATAGTTGCGATTTAGTGAAAATCTGTATACGACCATGCAGATCACCTAGGGCTAGATAGCACCTCCCAGAGTACTCCCAGAGTTTAATCTTTTTTTTGTTTATTTAAATTTAAGGCGATTTAACTTACATGGTTAAAAGCGCCACTCGGTCCTACAAATGTTTTTGTTACCTTTTTAGATACGTAATATATAAATTGATTTTGACATACATAGATTTTAACATACATAGATTTTAACAGACATAGATTTGTACATACATAGATTTTTACGTATGTATCTACATAGATTTTTAATTACATTGGCTCTTACAGGCATTGACTTTTAAACATTTCGTTTTCGTTTTACATGTTTTACATCATGGACGTATAAATAAAGATTTACATACATTAATGTTTATATTTGGTTGTATAAACAGAGGTGGATGAATGCCGGGACTTAACTACGTAATTTTTAAACGTAGCTACTGGGTCGAGTTTATTTTTGTCCTAATAAGATAATTTTCGGTAATTTTGCTACGCATAAAGTGATCTCGCCGATTGTGCAATATTCAAAGTCATTCCTAGTTTTGACAACCTGTACAGCTATTGTGGTTTAATAAAAAAATATAGACAAATACAAATAATATAACACATGATTAATATTGGATAAAAAACTGAAACAACTATAAAATTTAAAAATAACAAAAGTAATTTAAAATTATTGTTCAAAAAATTAATGAAATAGAAAAATTCAGAAATTCTTGATAAAAATACTGATATACTCTAGACTAAATACTGATATACAGGGATAAAGCATACAACACGTAAGGGAAATAGTCAATAGTCAATATATTATAATGCTAGAACCACTAAGTATTATAAAAAATCTACACACTAAAAATAACCTACCAATATGCTATAAAAATTCACCACCTGTTCCTATATTTCAAACAAAAGTTTTACAAATTAAGGGGTAAAAATATTTTAGGGCTTAAAAAATAAACTCTATCATACACTTAATATATTAATAAGTAAAAGGCTTTAAAGCAAAAATATATACGGATATTGCTTCTTACATCTCTTGTATAAATAGTATCACAAATAAGTCTTGCTGTGACGGTGGTCACAGCAAGAGGATATAAAGAAGTAATACTACGTAAATGTTTAAATGAGTTATGAGTTAATGAGTTAAAATATATCAAACTTTGATGTTATACAGCACCTGTTTGCGAGTACAATGCCTCTTTTTATTTCTTCTAACTTGTTTTTGTGACCGATTCACCCAGATGTACAACTCTCTGAAAATTTACCGCCCTTGTGCTTATATTTGTTCGCATTAATTTTGTGTTACCTTAGTTTATATGTAGATCCATTCATTCTATTGCCGTTGTTAGGTATGTTAGGATTTCTTCTGTGACCTGGACTGATCTATTAAATATAGTTCCTGCTGTCTAAATGGAAGTTTCGAATATTCTTGTCCTTTGTGTGTTTTAAACGGGTTAAAATATTGTTTTGAATTTTTATTGTAGATACGAGTTATGAGTTTTTGTGATCTCTAGTACAAAATTTATTACAGCATTGTATGAGCTTGATCTTACGATGCTGTTATATGCTTCTTTAAATTGGCAGACAAATATATGTAAATATTCAAAATATATTAAGAAGAGGTTATTTTGTGACTTGTAAAATATGATACTCATAGGAATAATGTTATAGATATTTAATTAAACCGAACGATATAGCTGCTCGTAATATACGAGCTAAAGAAGTTATATAAACTTAATACTTTGTACGACATCTCTGGGAAATGCAAATCGTGTACTTACATTTTTGAATAAATCAATATACATACTTCGATGAATAATCTTTAGTTTAGCGCAAAAATGAAAACAAATATATCGAAAACTTGTAAACTTCAAAGTGCCTAAGCTCTTCAACCAAAATAATGATGACAAAGATATGTATTACTTAATGTATGTAATGTAACATAATAACATGTATGTTTATTCGGTTACATATTTTATTTTTAAAATAACTTTTTTATTGCCTACCTACTATGCACAATTATGTTTGGTTAAATAAGATGACCTTATATATAACATTTAATAAAATAAGTTAAGGTTAATAACTTAAATAATTTTAAAAAACATTTATTTCTTAGTTTATGAGATTAGCCGTTAACATCATATGTAAAATAAAAGAATAACGATTAGATGCTTACCCCCGATTTCGTCGAAAAGCCATCGATATCCTAATAATGTCCGCTTTAAAATCAGGGCCATTTTCTTTGATCAGTTAATACAAGAAACTATTGGAAGTACCTTGTTTCCAAAATTAAACTGCTTGCTCACCATTTACATGCGACTAATAAGAGAACAATAGCCTGTTGGAATTAACGTATTAACATAGTACATGATTTATTCATCAAATTGGTCGTGAACTTACAGTTGTTTTAGGACATTCTTGAAAAAATGTGCATGGTTACCTTTAAAACACAATTTAATTCACTGTGTAAATAGTTTTAATACAAGGGGAAACAAGGCTTTTTAACATATATTTTTTTTTATTTGCATTTACCAGCATCAATCATTAACGGTATTTATCATTATCATTTACCAAATCAATTAGGTATTGTGTATATGTATGTATGTATGTATGTATGTATTAATGTATGTATGTATGTATGTATGTATGTATGTATGTATGTATGTATGTATGTATGTATGTATGTATGTATGTATGTATGTATGTATGTATGTATGTATGTATGTATGTATGTATGTATATATGTATGTATGTATGTATGTATGTATGTATGTATGTATGTATGTATGTATGTATGTATGTATGTATGTATGTATGTATGTATGTATGTATGTATGTATGTATGTATGTATGTATGTATGTATGTATGTATGTATGTATGTATATATGTATGTATGTATGTATGTATGTATGTATGTATGTATGTATGTATGTATGTATGTATGTATGTATGTATGTATGTATGTATGTATGTATGTATGTATGTATGTATGTATGTATGTATGTATGTATATATGTATGTATGTATGTATGTATGTATGTATGTATGTATGTATATATGTATGTATGTATGTATGTATGTATGTATGTATGTATGTATGTATGTATGTATGTATGTATGTATGTATGTATGTATGTATGTATGTATGTATGTATGTATGTATCTATGTATGTATGTATGTATGTATGTATGTATGTATGTATGTATGTATGTATGTATGTATGTATGTATGTATGTATGTATGTATGTATGTATGTATGTATGTATATATGTATGTATGTATGTATGTATGTATGTATGTATGTATGTATGTATGTATGTATGTATGTATGTATGTATGTATGTATGTATGTATGTATGTATGTATGTATGTATGTATGTATGTATGTATGTATGTATGTATGTATGTATGTATGTATGTATGTATGTATGTATGTATGTATGTATGTATGTATGTATGTATGTATGTATGTATGTATGTATGTATGTATGTATGTATGTATGTATGTATGTATGTATGTATGTATGTATGTATGTATGTATGTATGTATGTATGTATGTATGTATGTATGTATGTATGTATGTATGTATGTATGTATGTATGTATGTATGTATGTATGTATGTATGTATGTATGTATGTATGTATGTATGTATGTATGTATGTATGTATGTATGTATGTATGTATGTATGTATGTATGTATGTATGTATGTATGTATGTATGTATGTATGTATGTATGTATGTATGTATGTATGTATGTATGTATGTATGTATGTATGTATGTATGTATGTATGTATGTATGTATGTATGTATGTATGTATGTATGTATGTATGTATGTATGTATGTATGTATGTATGTATATATGTATGTATGTATGTATGTATGTATGTATGTATGTATGTATGTATGTATGTATGTATGTATGTATGTATGTATGTATGTATGTATGTATGTATGTATGTATGTATGTATACTTCATCTAATTTAGATAACGACCGTCATTATCTACGTCAGAGATCGAAGTTGACATAGTTGCCAAAGTATAAAAAAATCCTGACTCCATTTTAAATCAAATTGGTCACATAATTATTGCAAAAGTATTACCATCTATTTACAACGACTATTTAAATTCTTACGTGACATTTTTGAAATAAAACACACTAATTTTGTTCTAAAAAGAACATATTTTATTAAATAGGTAAAAATATAAAACAAGAGGTATTCACTTTAAAATTTAAAATAATAAAGTACAAAAAGTGTAAACACCGCAACTGTCAAATAAGTGTTACCAATTTATGCCAAAATTTTACCTTCGTTCGAGTACAGTTACAGAGTGTTCCGAACAAATGTTCTTGATAAAAACTCTTTATAATGGATTTATACAAATTAAATGAAACATATTATTGTGTATTTCTTTAAGTTAACATTAATATAATTTTTTAAATATTATTTCAACGCGTTTTATTAAAAATATGTCTAGTGGCTGTAATGTCGGTGTACTCGGTAAAGTGATTCTAAAAAGAACACACCTAAACCCTAAATATTTCGTGTTGGTATAATATCACGTCACAGGCTATGACGCCGATGACGTGCATCGTTATATAAATTAGATGAAGTGTATGTATGTATGTATGTATGTATGTATGTATGTATGTATGTATGTATGTATGTATGTATGTATGTATGTATGTATGTATGTATGTATGTATGTATGTATGTATGTATGTATGTATGTATGTATGTATGCATGTATGTATGTATGTATGCATGTATGTATGTATGTATGTATGTATGTATGTATGTATGTAAGTACGTATGTATGTATGTATGTATTGTAGCGAGATTAAATAAAACGAGAGGTTCGAATTTATATAAATATATTTATTTATAACTTTACAGTTCGGTAATATCTTAACAACTAAACTTATTCCTAAGACCGTTACATATATATACCAAAGTTACTATTTTCTAGAAAGTTCCCACCTCTAGGCATACGCGACTGATCTTTCTCGAAATATCGAGTCGCTTTCGAGATGCCGCCGCATGGAAGCATGAGGTGCTGTTTCGAGATGCAACCGTTATACGTGCCTCGTTGAATGCACGTTCGTAACACTGCTCCCCTCTTAGATCTGAGCGTCCCGATCAGGAACTCTATATGTAGGCCCGGAATCTACAGGACTCTCCAGCTCTGCATGAACCCCTCAGAAAGAAATACCAGTCTACTGTCTTTGAAGGACACAATCCCTTTGGATTAGTGCAACACACGGTAATTCTTACACCGGTTTCTCGAAAGATCACTTCTAGTATGCTTCTGACAATCTTCCAATCCAGATTATCTAGTGCATGGCCTATCTTGGGTAAGGCCAAATTCTTAATGTCGTAATTGCAGACGATTTTCTTCAAATTAGAGCACACCATATATCCTCGTAGGTTGCCCTGTCTGTATACGACTTCCTGGTCACCATATACAGCAAATATCGAGAACCATCTTCTAATCTCAGTACTCTTCCAACTTTAGGCTGCTGGTTTTTTAACTCGTCCAAACGACCGAACTTCTTATAAAATACGGATGAGATTCCTTTAGTCATCTCAAGATCTTGGGCAACACAGTGGGCTAGAGTGACGTTATGCGGAACACTAAAAAGATCCTGCTGAACTTCTGTCGTCACGCCGAATCTAGCACTCTTTCTCTCTGCGTAATTTGACATAAATTCATTAAAGCTTGGTCGCCGGTCATCTTCGATCTCATGTTGAAGGATTCGTGCTTCTTCTGTTTCATTTGAGCCAGCATAAGGTGCAAGCCGATTTATGTGAACTACTTTTGGTTTATCTTTCGGTAACTTTTTAATTCGGTATATTACGTCATTTATTCTCTTTTTAATTTCATACGGACCCTCCCATTGTCTTTGCAGTTTAGGAGACAAGCCACGACGACGTTGTGGATTATAAAGCCAAACAATTTCACCTACTTTATAGCTTTCATTCTTGCATCGAGAATCATATTGATCTTTCATTCTGTCACTGGCTAACTGGATGTGTTGTCGGGCAAGTTCATGAATGTTGTTCATTCTTAACTTCAGGCGGTCGACATAATCTTCGCTTGCAACATGTTCTTCGGAAGGTCTGGAGCCAAACTCTAGGTCGCAGGGCAAACGAACTTCACGACCTAACATCAGGCAGGTTGGAGTCTGGCCGGTAGTTTCATTCACGGCCGAGCGGTAGGCCATTAGGAATAAATGAATTTGCTGGTCCCAATCTCTTTGATGTTCTGATACAACTTTGGACAGGTGTTTATCCATCGTTCGGTTCATTCTCTCGACCATTCCATCTGATTGAGGATGCAGGGGTGTCGTTCTGGTCTTATTGACACCAATCAATTTACAAACGTTTTGGAAAAGGGTTGACTCGAAGTTTCGCCCTTGGTCGGAGTGGATCTCCAAGGGAACACCAAATCGGCTAAAGGATTCTTTAACAAGTACCTCTGCAACGGTAGCAGCTTCCTGATTTGGTATCGCATAGGCCTCAGTCCATTTTGTAAAATAATCCATGGCTACCAGGATATATTTATTTCCATCGTTTGTCTCTGGAAGTGGACCTGCAATGTCGATTGCTACTCTTTCCATAGGACTACCAACATTGTACTGTTTCATGGGTGCCCTCTTTTTACCAACTGGACCATTACTGGTTGCACACAGTTCACATTTCCGGCACCATCTTCTTACATCATCTTTACAGTTCACCCAATAGAACCGTTCTCGAACCTTTTGCAGAGTCTTCGTAATACCAAAGTGTCCACCTGATGCACCGTCATGTAACTGACGCAATACTTCTGACACTTTACTTTTAGGTACAATGAACTGAAGCTTAGATTCTGTACCATTATCGTTCTCAAAGGTTCTATAAAGAAGATCATCTTTTTACACTAGGCAATTCCATTGGCTCCAGTAACACTTGACTTCAGGACTACATGCACTAATGTCTTGCCAAGAGGGACTTTCACTTCGACGCATCAAATCCAATACTCTTTTTATACATGGATCATCTGCTTGAGCGTCTTGTAGCTGTTGAGGCTGCCATTGATCATTAATGACGATGGTTCGTCTCACGGGGCAAAGTCTTTCTTCTAATTTTAGACAGTGATTACAATGTTCACTGCACGGCCTTCTCGAAAGCGCATCAGCATTTAAATGAACTCTTCCAGCCCTGTGTTCGATCTCGTAATCATATTCTTGTAATCGTTCTAACCATCTTTCCATCTGGCCCTCTGGATTACGGAATTGTAGTAGCCATTTTAGAGCAGCGTGATCCGT